ACCTTGGGGAGCAAAGTGGTGAGGGAGGAAGAGAGCAGGAGTAAGAGAATAAGCCGGAGGAGTAAAGGAGGGGAGCAGGAGGAGATGAATCGGAGGAGCAGGGGGAGAAGTGTCAAGGGGGAGGCGGAGGAGCAGGGGGAGCAAGGGGGAGGAGGTGGGGGAGGAGGAGGAGGAGGAGGAGGAGGAGGAGGAAACAGGAAGATTCTTGACAAGTGTTGTCCAGGTTACGTTCGAGAGGTTCACAGACTCTGCCAGGGTTTGCAAGTAGTTCATCTCCTCCTCCCTGCTTGCCCTGCTGTGAAGCGAGCGATGCAGAATACACTCGGCAGAGAGCTCGAGCAGGAAAGCGATATGCTTTCCAGAGAAGCAGGTATGTCCCCCGCTTCCTGCCAACTTATCTTCACCACCGTCGTCGTTCTCAAACGTCTCCTCTTCCTGCTCCCCAACCTCTTCCCCACCATCATTATCATCGCTGTCACCATCATAATCATTACATCATCGTCATTATCATATTCGAGGATCGCATACGACAGGCAGGCAGGCAGGCAGGCAGGCAGGCAGGCAGGCAGGCAGGCAGGCAGGCAGGCAGGCAGGCAGGCAGGCAGGCAGGCAGACAACCTCAAAGGAATTGTGAGTTCCAACTCCGATGATTCACGGGTACCCTCAAGGTCTGTGAGGCGATGGAAATCTTCAGCGAGAGATGTCTGATGCATGACAAGGTCTACCAGAACCGTAGGGTAAGTTGCCCATGACTGCAGAAACTCATCCTGTTGACTTCATCCCTCCCAGGTGTTGGCGATTGAAGAGATGATCTTCGACGTCCTCATATCTGGTCTCCTCTCACCTCCTCGCCATCATCTCATCGCAAGTTTGACAGGGCACGACGATGTCAAGATCGCTGTCTTCGATGGTGATGGATGCTTGTTGCGCCACTGCACCATGTGCGAGGCTGCGCTCGATCCTCAGGTTATGATGTTGGAGGAGGAGGAGGAGGAGGAAGGGAGGAGGAGGAGGAGGAGGAGGAGGCAGATGGTTGTGATGACCAATGTTCATGTGTACAGTTGTAATGGTAGATATTGATGTGCTGAGTTGTGATGACAAACTTTGTTGTGTCGACGGTCATGTCAATCCTTGTCATCATGTCAATCCTTGTCATCATGTCAATCCTTGTCATCGTTGTCATGCTGCGACAACAACGAATGAGATCTCGTGTGGTGCTGGCAACAACTCTTTCTGCTTTCGAATGGCTGAGACAACCTCGGTCTTGCTGCTCCTCTCCTTCCCTTCCCTTCATTGGGCAACTTGCCCGATCGCCGATGTCACATACCAGCTCAACAACTCCCTCCCTCGCCTTCAGCTCCTCCTCCTTCTCAGCCCTTCCCTCCTCCAGGCCTTCACTTTCATGGACGACGGCGTGATTGATCTGATCAGGCACAGTCAGAAGCAAAGTCCAGGTGAGGACGAGAACGAGGACCAGGAGCAGGAGCAGAAGGGACGAGGACTAGGACTAGGAGGAAGACGAGGAAGAGGAAGAGGACGAGGAGGAAGACGAGGACGAGGAGGAAGACGAGGACGAGGAAGAGGACGAGGAGGAAGACGAGGACGAGGACGAGGACGACCTGCTGCCGGTGTTGACCCCTGACCCCCCATCTCCCAGGAGTTCAGCGCGCAAGGAGGCTGTTGGATCGAGTGTGCAGGAGGGACCTGGTGCTTTGCTCCCTGCCTGACAGCCCAGCTGATGGATGGGTTGCGGTCCAGTATCGATACGCGGGGTCGATCTGCATTGAGGACGGGA